AATTTTTTTTTAATATTATTTTTTTGGAGTAGAAAAGAGTTAATAATGACTGTGGGGAACATTACATTGCGGAATCAGATTTATTTTTTTAAAGTGGGAGATTAATGATGTGAATTACTGCCGTTTATGCGAGAATGGAGAGGAAGGATCGAAAGGCATATTTATATATTCTTTGTGCATTTGATTGTAACAGGCAAAAGAAAACGAGATCGACCCATGGTTTCTTTTGAAAATATGGAAAAAAATAATTTCTGGGTAGTCTTATGCATGTCCGTCAGTTAAATTATAAAAAAGGAGCAAGTCGCATATTGGATGAACTTTGGCACAACTCATTTATTTGGCGTATGGACGAACCATATTGAAATTGGAGCAAATCGGTTCAAATTTGGATATAGATCCCATAGGGTTGTTCTATTAAGACAAGGTGTGGCATAACGTCTAGGTTAGAGTGAGTGTCTTAAGTTTCATTGAAATCGGTTCAGACCCAACATTGGACCGATCGACACTAATATTTAAAAAATGTCAAATTTCGTTAAATCGATTCTGATTTAGATATAGCTTCAATGATTGCACAGTGTACTGATGTTAGTATCGCATAACGATAGCCGAATTTGTTGAAATCGGTTCAGGTTATATAGCTCCCATAGATATTTTGGTCCGATTTTAGGTTAATGGTGCACCAAACTCCCTAAGTTTGTCCGATTGACATGCAATTTTGATCAGTCAATGATGTGTTAAATTTATTACAAACGGTTCAGATTTAGATACAGCTGATTTCAAGTAAATGTTGCGCAAAAGGGTCAAAGTTTAACCGATAGCCACACAATTTTATACAATGGGTTGAAGTTAGATACATACGTTCAGATTTGGATACATTTCCATTTCTGCGTACAATTTTATGAAAATAATGCTTCAAATTCCTCATGTTTGTCCAATTTATACGAATATGTCGACTAAGTTTTGCACCTATATATTTTTGACAGACTCCATATTAATTGAAACGACTCCAAATCTGCTCGAATGAATTAAAATTTCGCACAGGTTAGGATTGATTTAAGTCTGTTCACAATTTCAAGTCAATGGTCATTTTAAAATGCGACGTCTGTTAGGATGTTGAATATCCTCAAAGTGATGAAGGGTATCATATCATTCTTTTTAACGTCTGTGGAATGATCACAATGGACTATATGTCTGCGAGTGGTATACTATCTCTTAACATCCTCTAACCTTTTAGGTGCTTGAAAGTTCCTAGCATAATAGAAATTTTGTGTTGATTTGGTATGAAAACCCCAGAAGGAAAAAATACTTATAGGTCTAAGTTCGAAGATATGACGTAATAATTCATTTGTTAGCGATCTATTATACATGAAGATACATTTTTGCTTCTAATTGGATTCCTCGCATGTCCTTTTCGTCCTTAATTTATTAAATAATTATCACAAGATGTAATTCTTCATCCTCGCAATGCTATACAAAAATGTTGCTCATAAGATTTTAGGTGGTGTCCTCAAAGAAGAGAAGGAAGTTTATTTATTGTGCGGGATTCTCTTATCTATTTCGTTCCCCATTGAAATAAGAATAAATATTAATATTTCATTTTTTTGGTTTTGTTTATTTTCTTTTTTTTACATTATTTTTTTGCAAAATATTTTTTTTTATATTTACAGTTGATATACATATGTATAAAAGAGAGTACAGGTACAGTCGAAGAAAGTAACAGTTTTATGAGGAAGGAAAGCTGAGTCTAGTATCGAACTCCCATTGGAGTATGGAATAAAATAAAGTAGAATAGAAAGGAGTAGAAATGAAAGGAGAAAGTAGACCGACTTTTGTGAGTTTTTTGTTTCGTTAAAGTTTTAGAAAGATAAATGGAGAATATCAGGAAAGTGTAGCAATAGCAGAAATATAAATTTAAGTAAGAGGAGTTCTTAAAACTACGGAGCTAGTATAATACCACGTTTGATCATTAATGATTGAGTATATAAATTCAGTTTACGTTCTTGGTGGGTTGAATGTTCACTTAATGCGTACCAGGAGCAGGGGCAACGTTAACAGATGTGGCTGAATTAATATGACCAGCTAGGGGAGCAGTGTGCACGGCACCACGAGTCTTAGCAACATAAACACCGGGACCATGAGCACCATGAGCCAAACCAGGTCCTTGGCTTAGAGAAATACCGGGATAACCACCCCATCCACCATGTCCAAGACCCCAAGCACCGTGAGCACTAATATCAACAGCAGCTGGTGCAGCCCAGGCACCTCCATGACCACCCCATGGACCGCCCCAAGGACCACCCCAGGGTCCACCCCATGGTCCTCCCAATGGACCGGCTGGATGTACGGCAGATGTCACATATGATACTCCGGGTGCGTGTGCGGCCAACAACGATGATTTGACACCGACAGCAAGGGCCAACATGACTACGACAATGGCGAACTGTAATGAAAAATTTGTATAACAATTTAATTTAATCTGCACATGTTTCAATAAGGCATTTATAAACAAGACCTATGAGAATACCTAATAGGTCATCTATTTTGGAATATTATCTTCCAGATTTCCTTGGGATATTAATACCCTTCGAATATTACAAATAATTATTTTTTACACGTTAAGAAAAAATATTGACGCACCATAGAACGTTTCCCTTGTATTTTATTTAATTTTCCTTGCAATTGATTTCGATTCGTAGTCATAGAAACACCGTTTATATAGTTATTTGGGTTTTTACACAATTCAATGTATTTTGGAAATTTTTTTTACATATTTCAATATTTTATTGTAATCAATTCTATTTTTTTTTCTAATTCAAACACTTTTTGAAAAAAAAAACGTATTTACCTTCATGTTGATAACGGGGATTGAGGATTTAAAACAAATTGACTGGTTGAACTGTGCAGTGTTCAATGAACGCTGTTCGAATTTATTCTGATTCTGTTTAACGAAATTAGAGTAACTTTTATACTCCCAAAATAACGAAGTTGCAACTGAATTTATCTTGGGGCAGTCGACATTGCAATGTTTGGTTGTATGTGTGTGTTTCTTTTCTGCCACACCAAAATTACGACAAAAAACTGTTATGCACTTTACAAGTGCAGGCCACACAAATAAAGTTTTATTTTTTGTGTAATAATCGTAGCACAAGATCACTTTACATGGTAACGCCACCGCCAACGCCAACTGTTGCATGTTTGAAAAAAAGCAACAAATAATAAGTTGCTGCTGCAATTGTACAGCAATTATATCCAGCAATATGTGGCCTGTCAATGTGTTGCTGTTAGCGGCAATGTTAATAACATTTTAAAAATGCTGCAGATCGAGCCAAGTGAATTGATATGAATAGAACATTTTTAGAACTATTTGAGGAATTTTAGAATATTATTCACATTGTTTATTATTGTCTTACCAGAGGGTTTATAACTAAATCCTCATAGTAAAATATTTAAGGTGTACAGTAGATATCTGTTCCAAATATTCAAATGCATTCATGTGGAATATTAGCAGTTTTTTTTTTTGTATTTCGATATCCTTCAAAAATCGAAACACCAAATTATAAAAAGGTAAATGTCAATGCCTACCAAATACATGTTTTAGTAATTTTAAAATACCTAAAGCAAATTAAGACCTTGTTAGATATCGAATAATTACTAACATTTTCCTTCCTTAAATATATAGAATAAGTAGATGATTAAGTTAAAAAAAAAAACAATGTTTTACCTAAGAGCGTGGACTTTGCATTTGGTTTCTCAGATACGTTTGTATTTGACTTTGACTAATGCTGTGGTTACCGGTATCATTTTTATACCCTCCACCATTACATTCATTTTGTTTTTCCGTTTGTAACTCATCGAAATAATAATTTCGACCATATTTTATTCATTTATGTAACTTCATTAGCTTCAAATGAAATATTTACATTTTCAGTAAAACTTTTAATTTCACACATGTTCCACTCTACCATGCGCTATCAATATCGGCAAACGTTTTGGGGTTTTCAGGGGGTTTTCAAACTGATTATTGTGCTTTTTAGATAGGAGGCATTACTTCCCTCCAAGGCGATGTCTTCCATTTCACACAATAAAATTGTATAATGGCCACTTTAACCGTTTTAGTTTGTTATTTCAAAAAACTTTACAAAAAACACTTTTTGCTAAATCTAAATATGCGATACAAGAAGCCCTGGGGCCGGGTATAATTAAAATGAAAAACAATCCAATTCGAACACTTTTGCACGTATAAGAAAAATTCAAAATATTAAGCCTTTTTTAAATATTTTATCCACAATATATGCTCTTCTTTAAACTTCTAATCTGGTTTGGCATATTCACCACTAATTTTTTATGATTTCATCTAGGATTTTCTTACATTTCTCTTGTTTATGTAGAAATTTGGAAAACTTTAGTGAAAATAAAATTTTTCTGTTTCAAAACTTCATTTATTGAAAGAAAAAATAATAATTTCGGGCCCGGGTACGTCCCAAGTTGAGGTATGATGTATGCAAAGCTTTGATGGAATCGTTTCGGATTTAGATATATCTCCCATATACAGTTTCGTTAAATTTTACGAGCACAAAACTGCCAATGTTTGACCGGTTTAGACAGAGTAGTGAAGTTACTACAGGTAGTCGTCCGTGAAGTTTTGTTGAATTTGGTTACCGTGGAGCCTTTATTTGTTCGCCTAGCATGAAATATTGCATAGCGTATAGGATTGAAATCGGTTAAGTTTTAGATATAGCTTTAATATATGTTTTCATTCAATTTCATCTAAATTGTGTGCCAAATAACTAAAATTGGGAGGAATTTGTACATTGCGTACCAAATTGAACCTAGAATAACGTGCATTGGATTTTGTAAAATATATTCAGATCTAAATATAACCGCTCTATATTTTTATCTGCGTTCATGCAAATTGAACACAAAATAATAAACTTTTCTCCTATCGAGATATGTATGAGTTGTTTAAATTAGTTCAAATATTTATCCAGTTCACACATTTAATTTCGTCCGATCCAGTTTCAATTGTCATCCAAAGATCATATGTCAGTACATGTGAGCATACCTTGTATGTACCTAAATTGGTGAAGTGCATCATTTAGTCAGTCCCGTCCGACTTTTGAACTTTCCGTACTGGTTTATAATAAATTTATGCATTTTCTAAATTATAACCATTTGTCGAGAAGATATCGTAGACAAACCAGTAAGGAAAGTAGTAAAGTCGGGCTGGGCCGACTATATGATATATTGGGTATATTCTACAACGGGTATTCTCATTTTTTTTAATTCCATTAAAATCAATTGTTTTGATTTGATCTTTATCAATAAATGATCCAACTAACATCAATCCATATACATGCTTTTCTGCAAATTTCAATGGGACAAATTTGGGTAAATCGATTTATAGCACACTTGATACACACTATTCTATAATATAAATCAGACACCCGTTCGAAATATATATGAAGCTATGTCTGCATCTGCACCCATTACAAAAAACCCGCAATCAATCTAGAGCAAAATTTCGTGCCAATCGGAGGAGTTTGGTGCACAATTTACCCAAAATCGGCCTAAAATATATATGTGGCAGGTATATCTAAATCTGCATTTTCAGGAAAATTAACACACATCATTCTAGACTTAAGTCAGTACGCTATGTCAAATTTTGTGCAAATCGAACGGTATATAGGGACTTTGACACAACATTTACCTTAATTCGGAAGAAAATATATATGGGAGCTATATCTAACTCTTAACCAATTTTCACGAAATTTAACACACATCATTCTAGACTTAATTCAGTACGCTATACGAATTTCGTGCGAATCGAGACTTTAGTACACCTTTTACACAAAATCAGACGAGAATATGTATGTGAGCTATATCCAAATCTGAACCGATTTCCACGAAACTTGGAAGACATGACTTCAGACCCAATTCAGAACGCTGTGCCAATTTCCGTGCAAATCGAAAGATATATAGGGTCTTGGATGCACCATTTACATTAAATCGGACGAAAATATATATGGTAGCTCTATCTAAATTTGAACCGATTTTCACGAAACTTCGCACACATCATTCTAGGCTTAATTCAGTACGCCGTCCAAATCGCAAGATATATAGGGACTTTAGTGCACCATTTACATTAAATCGGACGAAAATATATATGGGAGCTATATCTAAATCTGAACCGATTTTCAGGAAACTTAACACACTTTATTCATGGCTTATTTCAGTAAGCTATACCAAATTTCGTGCAAATCGAAAGATATTTTGGGACTTTAGTGCACCATTTATCTTAAATCGGGCGAAAATATATATGGGAGCTATATCTAAATCTCAACCGATTTTCACGAAGATTTACGTACTTCATTCTAGGCCTACTTCAGTAGGGAGCTATATCTAAATCTAAACCGATTTTCGTGAAACTTAGCACACAGCATTCTAGGCTTAATTTAGTGCGCTGTACCAAATTTCGTGCAAATCGAAAGATATTTAAGGACTTTGGTACACCATTTACCTTAAATCGGACGAAACTATATATGGGAGCTATATCTGAATCTGAACCGATTTTTCCCAATTTCAATAGGGTTCGTCCTTGTGCCAAATGAATGAGCTGTGCCAAATTTCATCCAATTCGAATAATAAATGCGAAGTGTACTTTGTTCACAATTTAATATGGTCAGACCGCAGACGGACGGACGGACATGCATACATCGACTCAGAAAGTGATTCTATGCATATTCTCAAAAGGAACCATGTGTCTATCTCGCTCCCTTTTGCCTGTTACAAAGATATGCACAAAGACATAATACCCTGTACCACAGGGCGGGGAAGGGTATAAAAAAGGGAAGTTGCTGTATAGACACCAGAGATGGTCCGTCAGAAACAGTGACGTAAATTACATACATTTCCGACGTATAATACATACGTCAGAAACGTCGGAAACCTAACCAAAACCATTAGGTTTTTGACAAAATAGCTATTTCCCTTAATCAATTTGGAAATTACGTATGCTTTACTTAAATCCACATAAAATTTCAATATTTTCTTTTCCAAAATGTTAAGAATTTTTTATCAGTTATAATAAGGAATAGGCAGATATATGTAAAAATAATATATATTCATGAAAATAACTGTATATGGTAATAATATTCAAATAAATGACGTTTACTACATTTATTACATTTTATACACGTATATGACGTTTTTGACGTTTACACCTTTTTGACAGTCGAAAACCTTAAAATTCGTCACACGGACCATCCCTGAGAGACACCATCTTAGGATTTTATACAATGACTTTTGGACTTTCCTTATTGGCTTTGATTTAATAATTTCTTGGAAAAAAAGTGATTTTTGTTTTCATTAAAAAATCTTTAATTAATGTTAAGTTTTGAATTGAAAACAAATAGAAATAAACATATTTACGTAAATGTATTAAGAATTTAATGTCTAATATTTTTATATACAGATTTAGTGGTGTATCCATTTTCATTGGTTTTTGTTGTGCTTCACCCACAATTTGCCAACAATTCCCAAGAAATCTAAACAAATATTGAAAATAACACACTATCAATTATTGCAATTGGGCAAATCATTTGCAAATTAAAACACCCTCCGGTGAAAAATAAAATACATTTGTTTTTGGCAGAATTAAGTTGTGTGCCATGTGCAGAGTCATATTAAGAATAACTTCATAACATTTGCAACTCAATTAAATTCTGCCGATTATGACTCCTTACCTTTCACAATTCGAAATGTTTAATATTACCACTATTTGTTTTGTTTGTTTAGGTGGAATAATTGTTTTGAATTTTGTTTTTACATCGAATCGAATCAAACTGTGCGCTT